TAGTCTTAGTGATTGGACAATCCCGCAAGACATGCAGAATTGATTCGGTCGCGCCACATACCTCGCACTTCGACGAGGCAGCGAGATGCCTACGGACCCGCTCGCTGTTGGTCAGTAAACGATCCTGAGCTGCCAGCCACAGGAAGGTTCGGACCCATTACGGCACAGGAGATTGCCAGATCAATTTCCAAACTGGTCTATCCGGATCTCTCGTTGGTTGTGCTAAAGCCGTGTAGGCCGTTCGCGTAGGGAATTGTCCATCATGGGAGGAAGCCCACATAAGATGATCTGCCCCGGCTATTTCTCTTGGAGTAGTGATTCCAGCAATTCGCATGATGATGGTTGAGGGGAGGACTCCATTAAAAGAGTCTCATTTTCAGTTACCCCTTTCGTCTACGAACTCGACAAAGGTTAAGTTAAGGGTATCTTTGGGCGGCCATTGAGATACATAATGTATTAACGGTCCGATAGTGCCTACCCAAGGATCAAGCCAAAACCGCACCGTCTCCCCATTGCCTCCATTCCACCGAATTTCTTTCACCATGTTGGGCCAAATCTTGCACAGGGCTTTCATTAACGGTGACCCCTGGCGACAACGAGGTTTATCCAGTATATTCGAGGGAGTGAGTCCATACTTGGGTGACATAAAATGCACCCATAAGGAGTTACTCTTTGTTAGAAGACCCACCTTTGTTTCATCAAGAGTGCATAATTCATTTTGCGTAAATCCTATGATTCCTAGGTCACCATCTTCTTTGGGTTTGCATACATCCTTCCAAGCAACCAAATGTATTTTCCTCTTCTCGGTTATACAACCCCAAACAAATGCACGGCTTTTACGTTCCAAGCCTTCGGTAATAGCACCTAGTAATAAAGCAGCTTGCATGGAGAAGTAGGGCAAAGAACTAATCACCGACTGGGTAAGGGTTACACGTCCCGCCAGTGAAAGTGATTTCATCCTCCACCCTGCTAAGCGATCCTCCGCCTTATCCAGAATATGAGAATAAGTTGACTTGGTTACACGGCCGTGAATAACTGGCATCCCAAGATATTTTCCTGGATTGTCCGTCCATTGAAATTGTAACTCGTCTGCCAGCCGACATTGCTCGTCTTGCCCCACATTGCGTGAAAAGAAGACTTGCGTCTTCTCCGAGCTAACTTTCAGGCCCGACATATTACAGAAGCGGTCAAGTACTTCCTTTAGGATCCTCGTCTGCTCGTCCAAAGCTTCCATGAACAGGAGGAGATCGTCTGCGAACATAAAAAAAGCACAGCTACAGCCCCTCTCTCAATAGAAAACGGTCTCCATGTTTTCCTTTAAATTGTCTGGTCTATAAGTTGCGCCAATTGCTCCATACAAAGCACAAAGAGATACGGGGAAATAGGGTCACCCTGCCGAACTCCCCTGGTGGGTTGGAACTCCTCCCCTCTTCGTCCCATTCCATAGCAAACGCATCGATGCGAACCGGACACATGCCATGATAGCCTTGATTAGGATGTCGGGGTAGCCGGCTCGTTGCAGGGTTTCTTCAATAAAGTCCCATCGAAGAAAGTCATAAGCCTTCTCAAGGTCAACTTTGATGACCATATGGCCCATTGCTCCTTGTTTGCGGTGCATAGAGTGTATTAGCTCGTGCGTCACTACAATATTGTCAACAATCTGGCGACCCGGGACAAAGTTGGCTTGTGCCGAATGGATTAAGCCGGGTAGAGTACCTTTCATTCGATTAACCAACACCTAAGTCAAGAGTTTATAAATGACGTTCAACAAGATGAAAGACCTGAACTGCTTAATGGTGGAAGCATTTTCGACTTTGGGAATAAGGACAATTAAGGTTTAATTTATTTCGCTGGGGATTACACCATCTCGCCACATGTTGTGAATGAACACCCGTACTGAGTGGCCCACATTAGCCCAATTCTTCATAGAAAGTAAACTGTTTAACCCATCGATCCCCAGGGCTTTTCATGAACCCATACTTTCTAGGGTCGAGAATATTTCACCATCCGAAATCTCTTCCTCCATGGCCTGCAACATGTCCACATGAGAGCCCGGGAATAAGTTGGGCGCAACCTCAGCCGCGACCGGAGCCTGCCTGCCCGTGAAATTTTTTGAAAAATTCCGTTGCTAACTGCCGAAGGGCCTGTTGGTCTGTGAGATGCTGACCCGCATCATCTAACAATTCTGTAGTCCTTCCACTTCGTCTACAGCATTTAAGTTGCCGATGATAGTAAGAGGTGTTTCTATCCCCCAAATGTATCCAATCTCTCGTGGATTTCTGGAGGAGAATAAGCTCCTCTTGAAGAATGACATCGTATAACTCTGCACGCAGTTGTTGCTCTAGCGCCACTAGTTTTTCCTTAAAATAATACTGCCGGTTCCTCTGGATACCCCAAATACATGCAAGAAGCCTTTTCTTCCGAAGAAAAATATTACCAAAAATCGTGAATTTCCATTCTTTCGCCGCTGCTGTAAATTGCTTGGTCGCCTCAGTAAAACAAAATGAAGGTTGCCATGAGTTTTGTAGCATAGCAGAGAAATCCGGATGAAGAAGCCACGATGCTAAGAAGCGGAAGGGTTTCACTCCCTGAACTACAAAACTCTGTCGTCCAAACGTTACCATCAGAGGTGAGTGGTCGGATTGAATGCGCGGAAGGAGGCGTACCCGACTTGTCTCGAATTTCTCCATCCAGGTGATATTCGCTACAAAATGATCAAGCCTCTCCATAACTTGACCATTTTGGCCATCCCGAACCCACGTGAATAGATGTCCATCCGTAGCCACCTCTTGTATGCTGTTAGAGAACATCCAATCCTCGAATTCCTTGCTAGTGTTACAAAAGTTACGTGACCCCCCCACCTTTTCAGATGGATGAAAAGACAATTGAAATCGCTGCCAGTGAGCCATGGGACTGAGATACCCGACGCAAGTCTCTCTAGGTCCAGCCATAGGCGTCGTCGAATAGTAGGGTTGGGGCTTGCGTAAATAAATGAGATTAAACAGTCCTCGCTATTCATGCCCGCCCGGACATTCACCAGTTGCTTAGAACAAACAACACCTCAACACTTACCCTCTCTCTCCATAGCAGCCAAATACCACTTGAAAATCCACGAGCTTCAACTCGATAGGAATTCTGAAACTTACTATACCGCACGAAACTGTCGGCAGGTACCCCATTAATCTGTGGTTCAAATATTGCTACGATATCTAGGTTATGCTGTCGGACTAGAGTGGAGAAGGCTCCCAAAAATGCAGGCAAACCAGCTCCTTGAACATTCCAAGTTATAATATTCATGGACACATTGTCAAGAGAAAACTGAGAATTCACTTACTAATTGAGTAGATGGCCATGGGCACCCGATTTATCCTCACTACACATAGGTTGGGATGTCCCCTCCGACCTGTCCGCCGGGCATTGTCGTGATAGTTGTTTCTCAGGCCACGGTTCTTGGAGATAAACCTTATGCTCACTATCCGACATGATAACGTCGCCGGTTCTATCAACGTTGATAACCTGATGGGGATTGTGGATGGGAAACGGGGTTCTATGATCATTGTCAACGATGATGGCCCAGTGCTTGGATGGGTCCGACCCAGCTCCTACATGTATCGGACCTACTTGACTCTATGATGGGTCGTGTGTCGCAGGCCCAACTGTGTTCATCTCGCTCACACTAGGTTCAGTTGACTTCTTTCGTTTTGGTTGGTCAGTTTCTACAGGCATGTTCAAACCGGCTTTAGGCCTAACTTGCTGCACAGGCCCAATAGCTTCCGCACCAGGTTTTGTACCGCATGCATTTTGCCCTTTTTCTTGCTCGTATCGACACGCCAATCCCGATCCCCCGAAGTTCAAGCATTCCACTTTGGCAAGGCTCCCCCCTCCCCATTTTTTTCCACTGATTGGGTTTGAAATTCAAAATTTGAATTATAATATGGATTATTCTTCTTTTTCAAAATATCAAAACGAGATCCTAGATTGGAGATTGTGTGCGGATTTTTAGCGATCTGAGACGTCCCTTACCGCGTCGGGAATACTGTTGTCGTACACGTTGCGGTACCTGAATCCATGGGCCGTATGGCGACGGGTCCTCACCATCCTCCTTCGTCGCTTTGGCCGTAGAGCTTCCTCCGTCACCAGTCACGTCCCTAGAGCGGTCAACTTCTAGGGTTTCAGAGCTGACCAGATCCTCTTGAGATGGCGAGCGATGAATACCTGAGGAACTGGGATGGCCTAGGTGTCCACAATGGAAGCAAATGACAGGCATGTTTTCGTAGACTACCCATTGTTGTCTGCCATTGATGGAGAAATTAACACATAGTGGTTTTGTAATATCTACTACCACCGCAAGTCTCACATCTTTACCACGGGTGAGGGCTGCCGTTTGCTGATCAAATTTGACAACCTTGCCCACTATCCACCCAATTGTGCAAAAGATGTTCTTGTGATAGAGATGAGCGGGCATTCCAGGCAGGCGGATCCACGCTACAGTAGATGTTACCTCTGCCTTTGTTGTGCTAAATTCAATGTTCCACGGCTGGACATGCATGTAGCCGCCCCCAATAACGTACGGCCCACCCGTAAGAACTTTCACTGCATCCTCCCCCCTAGTAAAAACACGCCACTCGACCTCTTTCCCTTTACTGCTAGTCTCAAAGGCCACCGCCGAAAAAACCAACGGCCGCTTGTCGGCCCCAACATCCCTAGTATATTTCGAAGGACTGCGTGGATTTTCCCAATCCCAGTTTTGAATCGTACTATGTAATACCTTAGCCTAGTAGGCCTTCTTACCGTCATGAATTATGTGGTTGTCATAAAAAAAGAGAGGGTTGACAAAGTTGAGTTGCCCTCGGTGGGTACAGTCTTCCATTCCTTGGTTCGCATATTCCTGTGTAGGATCGAACCTTTTTAACGCTCGACCAAACAAACGAAGCGAAGCGAAGGTTTGTCACCGAGGACCTCGTTTCAAAATAATACGCCTCCTGGGGGCTTTACTAGGACTAACCAAGAAAAGTCCTAAAGCCGGAAGTGATCTTAGAAATCAACCGGTAGTTTGTAGTGGACATTCTTATTTGACTGAGTTGCGAGAAGGAAGAAAGGAATGAGTCTCTGTTCTTCCACTTACCGTATCTCCTGTATTGGTGGATTTTGTGAATATCATTTTCTAGATCTAACAAATTTGATGAATTACTCCTAAAGGTTCCCATGAAACTAGTGCTAGTTCCCAGGAACCGAAAATGGATGAGATAGAGTCCGTTCTTTAGATCCATCATATTGCACCCCGCCATGAAAGGCCACATCTTGGTCAGGCAAGCCATGGTGATGGACTCATCGAATGGTTTAATCACCACCGCATTCTTCCACTCCTTGTTGTTGCGATCAAAGAAACATTGAGTAATTTTAGCCTCCGGCACCGGGAAGGAAAGGTCGACAGAAACATCCTCCTCCCCTTCGTGAGCCGCTTCATCGGCCTCAGGGCCCATCTCCACATGGGATCTATGCTTATTCACCATGTCTCAGAATGTCCAATGTAGAAGAGGGGTTACCTATTGAGGCGGGTGGAACAACTGGTGGTACGACTGGTGGGTGCAGGTGCAGAGGGTTTTGATGTTCCAGGAATTCTCCTGATCTTTTGCGAGTTCTAAGTCGTTCAGAAGCCGAGAGAGTGTTAGTTGACAAAGGTGGAAATTTCATTTCAGTGTATGCCGGCGGATTGACCTCGGGGTCGAAAGTTGTCGTGATGGGGTTGAGAGCAGCGAGAGAATTCTCCTTAGACATATTTTCCTTAACTTATAATCGTTCAATATTAGGCCTCTGAATGTTTTAATTAAATACATGTAAAATACATGTCAATGAGATCTGACAAAACCAACAAAAATAATCAGCCAATTTTCCGTGAAGTACGCTAGCGTCACATAAAAAATCACAATGTAAAATAATCACTGAAAGTATTCTGTAATAAGTTAAGGAGGCGGCCACCATCCGCGATAGCAGGCAGTGGAGGCAGCTCACCATGATTGGTAGACGTGCTCAGGAGCACATATTTTGGACTCTGGGTGATAGGGACTTTAGATTTTGGGATGAGTGGTGGTTCGGTGATGGTCCCCTCTCGAGCACTAGGTAGGTCACCCACCTTCCCTTTCTGCAGGTGAAGGACCTGTGGACGGAGGGGGGTTGGGATAGGGATAGGTTAGAGAGAATTTTGGATACAGGAGCGGGCATTAGTGACTAGGTGATTGATGAAATCAATAGATTCCCAACTCGAAGGGCGGTTTGGATGGTATGAGATGGAGACTTACATCTTCGGGTACATTCTCTACGACCTCGGCTTGGGGGAAAGTATGTAGGTGGGTGATCGGCCTAACCTTCTCTTCGGGGCCATCTGGACCGACCTACTTACCCCGACCATCTCTTTTTTCCTATGGCGCCTCCTTTTGCACCACCTACCGATTGATGTTGTGATGCAGGAGAGGGATGGAAGTATGGACCAGCCTAGGCAATTGCCTAGGTTGAAATTTCTTTGATAAGTATATTAGTACTATTTTACATAATAAGCTAGGGAAAATTTGGTGTAAATGAGATTAGATAGGGCAAAAGAGGATGGCTCCTACTTCTGTTTAATATACTCGAATCAAAAAGGCTCTTGACATCTCATCAATTATTAAATGCCTTAAAAATCATTTTATTCATAAGAAAAAGGATATATATGAATAACAACACACTTTATAATTTCTCAATAATCATTAAATGACAGTAAAAATCATTATAATCATAAACAAAAAAAAAAAAAACAGTTAAAACACACTATATTTTCTCAATGATTGAGTGAAATTCTTATAAATTGTAAGATCATTAATTTTTTAGTATCAAATTAGAATTTTTGATATACTTGTGCTTCTTACGGTAATGTAAGCCCATCTCGCATTGAATAGGCAACTTCAGAAGTTTCAGTTGAGATCTCATTTTTGAAGGCTTAGCGTATGTATAGTAATGTTGTTTTCAATCAGGCTTAACAATTACACAATTATATTTTTTTCACTATTTTTTATATATGCATGTTATTAAATTGGATGTCAGTTTAAACAACAATATAAATAAAATTATGATATTTCATAACATAAGTAAGTATTTTTTTATAAATAAGGCGAATCAACATGCCTAAAGATTCGACCACCTCATACAAGAATTATATACTTTCCAAATTCAAACATTACTTTCTTAGAATCTGATATTATTATACCAAGAAATATTTTCTAAACTTTTTTTTTTTTTTTTTTCANTGCCTAGGCTGACGAAATTTTTTGTATCCGCCACTGATTCTCCTTCCCCTCACGTTGTTACTGTTGTGTTGAGACAGACGACTTTCAGACTGAGACCTTCACCCATTTATTTTTCGAGAGCGAGACTGTGAGGAGAGTGTGGGGGCATTGCACCAGTTATACACATATTCTCCTACCCTCCACAGATACTTTCTTTGAGCTTCTGAGTTTTTTCAGTCACAGCACACACAGTAGACATGTGGGTTTCCTTATTCCTTGTATGATCCTTTGGGCCACTTTGACAGAAAGGAATAATGCGAAGCATAGGGATGACTATTTGTTGTGCTCCCATATTATTTTGTAGGTTGACCGGCATCTCTCCCTTCTTTCTGCTTTAGGCAGACTCACCCAGAGAGACTGGACAAGCTGCATGCCACCCCACCGCCTTGCACCACTTCCTCTGCCGTCTGTCCAGCATCCACGACCCAGAGCTATTGTTTGGCTGAAACCCGAGTTGCCTTGGGTTAAGCTAAACACCAACGGGGCTTTTGATCGGCTTACTCGAGCCGCCGGAGGACGGGACCTGATTAGGATCATAGCAGCGCCCTTATTATCCCTTTCCATGCCCCTTCTTGGGCCTCCTCGAGCTATGACGCAGAGATTCAGGCACTCTAGATCGGTCTTCAGATTGCTGCCTCGATCTCCTTTCATATTGGGATTGAGTTGGAAGCTGCCGCTATCATCACACTCCTGACCTCTGACTATCAGGGCACTTGGCAGATTCAACATCCACTCATGCGTATTAGAGCCATACTTCGGTTGATTAGATATTGAATCTCACACATCTTCCGTGAGGGGAACCGACCTGCTGATTTCCTTGCTGGCATCGGGTCCTCCTCTCCCCAGAGACGTATTCTTCAGCGTGACGACATTCCTCTCCGCCTCCGCACCCTTATACGGATGGACCAGATGTGATACTCATCATTCATATTTGGACAGTTGGACTTACATTTTGGTGCCTCTGCGTCCTCGTATGTTGACTCTTTGCCTGGACTCTTTCAGGACCAGGATCAGATTTTTGATGATTATTTGCAGTTGTTGTCTTTTTCTTTTACTTGTATTCGTTTTGTTCTTGTTCATTTGGATTGTTGTTTATTTAGATATCGATCTGTAGTTTTGTGACTTTTGAGCTCATTTAGGGCCTTTTTATATACAGGATGGGGGTTCGGCCTTAACCTCCACCCTTCTGGGTTGTTGTTACAAAAAAAAAAAAAAATGTATTCTGTAATAAGTTGAACCAATGTTTATTATATTACAAGTCGACCAAGAATCAGAATGTTTTATGGTGATTTCATGTCATCACGAGAATAAGGGATATATACATGCACTTAAACTGATGTTACGCTTTGTTCAACGAGCTACAAGATGGAAAATAAAAGGTGAAAACAGACATGTTTGTTATGTGCTCAGTTTCTAACCGATATCGAATTTGATTTTCTAGTGGATAAGGCAATCCACAGCTGACTTTTCTAGAGTTTCAGTTAGACCAATTATTATGTTCATATGATTCTCATTGTTCCTATTGTACTTGAAGATATATTACATAGGGAGCGGTTGAAAGTTTGTATAAAAAAAAAAGTGAGTATCAACTTTTTGTGGTGATCATAAAAGATAAAAGATATTGGAAAAGTAAAGAAAACCAGCTCACTTTAGCGCTTGTAAAAATGCTTGTTGACCAATTGTTAATGTTTTTTATTTTATATTCAGTTTCGAGTTTGACTTTGGCAAAAATTTAAAACAGATATACTAAGTTGGTGACTTAAATCTTATCAAACTTGCGGTAATCAGTTGGCGAATTCGTTAAAAAAAAGGTATACTAATCACACTCTTGGGATTAACTTCTTCTATTTTGATTTAGCTGCGCATATTGGTAGGGTGAGCATGGTGCGGTTCGGTGCAAAATCGCACCGAATCGCAGAAAGTAGAAAATCAAAAATGTTCATTTATCTAAATCGAACCGCACCGAAATTAGAGGAAAAATCGAATTAAAATCGCACCGAAATTTTCAGTTCGATTCGGTGCGATTAAAAAACAACAACAACAACAACAACAACAAAATAAAATGTAGCTACATCATCATCATCATCTAATGTGCAATAGTACCAAACCAAAGCCCCAAAATTTGAACTAAAATTAATAAAGTAGGACCAGAAATTAGATTTTAAGGTAATGTTTTAATTGTTAATTGTTATTGTTATTATTTGTTACTTTATTTATTTATTGCTCATGTTAGCAAGCCCCAAATCTAGTGCGCGTATATGTACAGTACAAACATGTTAACATATTTTTGTTAAAAAAAACATATTCGGGGCGATTCAGTTAAAACCGCACCCTTCGGACAAAAAACCGAACCACACCAAAATTTGAGCGGTTTTGCAAAATTCTAACCGCACCGAAAATCGAACTCTTGAAAAACCGGACTGAACCGCACCGAATACACCGATTCGGTTTGGTTTTTCGATTTCGGCTCGGTTTTAAGGAAATTCCAACGTCTTCCGACATCCTTCGCTATTCAACATAGTAATTCTTTTTTTTTTTCCGTTTCAGTCTGTTGATCAGTCATCAACACTCGCCGCTAAAGTTTGCGTTCGATCAGAGTTAGTTTTCCAAATCAATTTTGTGCAAAATATTTATACATATTTACAATTAGTTGTTCGTTGTCTGGAGAAATTTCAGCTTCATCTGACTTTCATTATGAGTTAGTGACCTACTGTTGGGCTCATCAGCTCGACCATTGTTTGTATCCCGTTTTTCAAAAAAAAAAGTTGAATTGTGTTAATCTCTTTGGGTTAACTGGTACATATCTCGTGCGATGCACGAGACAGAGATGTTAAATGAATTATTTTCTTAAGGCTTGTCCGTTTAGGCCTAAATAACAGAGTCAGACCATCTATTTTCCACTTCTTTTAATCAACGCTGTTTTATTAGTCAGAACGTTAAACCTGCTCTTGTTAGCACTTGCCTGTAAATTAACTAATATATTATCCCGCTAACAGTTTATAATAATGCAAATTTGAGTTTTGTATTTATATTTATTTCTTGATATAAGAAAAAAATAACAATTTTACTTATTCTTGTTCACCATATAATACTTGATTATTATTTTATTATAAAATTTATTCTCATATAATGTCATTATTATTATTTCTAAAAGTTATAGAAGTAGTCTTATTCTTATTTTAATTTTACGTAATGATAAATCTTTAGTGTACGTTAATATTATTTATTAATATAACTAATTTAAATTATATAGATAAAATTAAAATAAAATATTGTGTATAAATATTTACAAATATACACACATGTTTTTTTTTTTAGAATATAAATTTTTATAATAATTTAAAAACTTTGATTTAGCAATTGCCAAAACTAAATCCCTTCTATAATCAAGAGACTTTTCTAATTTGGATCCAAAGACTATAGTTTATTTAGAATACTATGCAATGGGAATAAATTTTA